TCTTATGCTTATTTGCACATTTTTCGAAGATATTGAACTGCTCATTACATTACAGTTGCATTTCATTCTATTTGCTTAAACGTTAAAAAACTGTCCTGTCAACTCATTTGTATCGAACAAAGCAAGTACACAGTGAATAAACTCTCTTTTGTTTAAAAACATTGTAAACACGTTTTCATTCACGCTTTCCACAGCGAGTGTGTTGTTATTGTACCGATTCTACCCATTATGGGTTTGTATTTACTATTAATCAATATTATTTATATTTATAAAAGCGCTCAATTAAGAAAACACTTTTTATGTGGAAAATTAAATACAATATTTATACAGTTAAAATTCTGCGAATACGTTTAAGTATTTATTCATTTCATAAAAAAACTACCATATTTTTTACTGATTTCTCAATGTCCGATTTTGTAGTTCCCCTGAAGCGCTTTGAGATAAAGAAAAAAAGGTGTGCAACATACAACATTATTTAAGCCACACGCCAAACAGTTGCACCTTAGCATTGGCCCACTATGACAAGTTTACAAGCCTATACATATGTACTACTGTGGGCCTAAAACCGATAAACACTTAACTGCTCAAACAGTTCGGAGAATCCAATTGCATGACCCACATGCTACCAATAACAGCTCATGTTGCAAATAGAAAATACGAGTGAGTGGGTGAACGAGTAGTTTATTGGATGTTTTTACGTATATATGTACATTCAAATGTATATATACTTGTATCTCCGTAAATGTAGCGTGAGAGAAAAAATATTTATGTGGACCCAACGCACGATTTTATGGGTATTTTCGGCATTTTCTTTGTTGTTCCATGTTTGTCTTCTAGTTGTATTTACCACTTACAGCAAAGGCATATCTGGAATCCTTTAACGATCGGAATCTTCAATTTTCATATGCCTATTCAAAGTCAAAAGCCCCAGGCTCGCACACAAAGAAACCTAAAATTGCGCTGAGCTGTCGCAAGAAATGGTTGCATTCCTATTCGTCCTGGTGGCACAATGAGCCATACAAATTTAACTACTGTAAATTAACTGAGGGAGCTTAGAGCTCAAGCCCATTTCAGCCCATTTTTCTGTTGCAGCTAGCAACTTATTATAGAAGTTTTCCTTGTATACACCAACGTTGGTCGCCATAGGTAAATGTGTCAGGAGGGAACCCACTGCTTTAGCGGTCAGTGAGGAACTCTTCACAAATTCCTATTAGGATGATTAGATCTTTTATCTTTCGCCCACTTTGTGATCTTGGTAAGTATTAGAATACGCGCACAACTCCAACCTAAGCCAAGGTGTAGAGGTACCTGAGCTGATATCTGAATGGACAGTCGGCGGTTATTGAATAGCTAACCGCGTCGTATAATAACAGCTACAGAGGATAAAGTATTGCTGGTACTCGTAATGGAATCATATGTAGGGACAATGAGGCCCACAAGCCATCAAACTTCAGGGCTGTGTGATGGAGTTTGATGAATACAACCTAAACGCCTCCAGTCAGGAGACGATTCACAACGCGTGCCACACATGTACTCCATCAGTAGGCATACATGATCCACCGCGAAAGCTGTCGTGGGTACCAATCAAAGTTCGCTAAACACACAAAGAAGAATAAGCGAAGAAATCTCACAGCCAGGTCAAAAAAGCGGATCAGCTATAGGGGTTCTCACCCGGATCATCTTAGGCGATATTGAGCCCATAAGTCAAGTATCTATATATAAGATATGCAGTTACAGTTGCCAGGCTTCGCTTAATTAACTAATAAACTACAGCATAAAATTTTGTTTAAGATGAGAAAATCAATCCCCACAGAGAAATGTGAGAGAAATGTAGAAAGATGGAAGTGACACCATTTAAAAATATTCAGCTTAAAGGTGCTCTGAAATCTTCTAGCAGCGTTTGTTTAGCTCAAGAAGGTTTTTGTGTAAAAAGCCTTGTAGACCGCTATTATCCTTCTCTTATATCGAAGTACTCACGACTCCATGGAAATAATGAAAATTTCTATTTTATTTGTATAGTTTTTATTGAATCTTTCCTTTTTGAAAACTAACAATAATTTCGAGAATCTTAAAGCTAACTCTTATTCCTAGAACAAGTTAATCATTACCACTGTATAGATTAACAAAACAACCAAAGTACAATAAATTACGAATTTAACTTAAATTTATCATTACGGATACCAAACACTCATGTTTAAAAATTAACAAAAGGTATCTCATAAAGGATAATTGAAGTAACTTATAATATCATATATCAGGATATTTGCGGAGCGCAACTTCGATGCAGAATAATTGGATGCGGCACAGCCCTTAGTCACAGTTCAAACGCAAATCCTTTCTCTTTAATCGCTTAGGGTGGTTCTGCTGTAATAACTTTTTAGCTAGAAAGTTTGGGTGGTTCGATAACCTTAATGAGTTATTTTTGAGCAGTTTTCTATTTCCTCGGTGACGGTTATAATCCCGAGATCATTGTGAATTGTGGAGTTTTTACATACCAAGGGGCTTTGCATGTTCGAACAACATTGCTGTTCGCAAAAAAATATATGCAGTTGGGTAACGCCCAGGGGAAGAAAAAATTGCTTTGTCTAAAATATGTTTTACGAAGATTTAGAAAGTACAATAATCGGAAAATTCAGTCTCCAACTGTATTATTATCAGCTGGGGGTTGACATCCATCGTACTTGGTAAGTATTATATAAGGAGATAGCAGAGTTAACCAGCTCCTTCGTAAACACTTTGGGCTGGAAGCAAGCATGCCTTGTCTATTGATCAATAGCGTAGATCACGACATCTGCCGAAGATAAATCGTAATGAATTTTAAATTATTTATAAATTTTAAAATTTCGTATAAATTTTATTGTCGTTCACCTTTTAGTGACGGAGAATGCTGTAAACGTTTCAAGAATAAATTGTAAGTGATGCGATATGGCTAGGATATATTCCTATAAACTATCCAGAGAGAGTCCTTTCGCGAAATCTATTTTTTTATATCCAAAATGAAGCCTCTTAATACATACAAGCTTACAACTTGAATTTTATATAAATCCAGCATTAAAGGCAATTAAAAACAACAACATTTTTTACTGCATTATAATTTTTTTATTCCAGAAAAATAGTCGAAAAATAACATAACATCAACCTGTATAGAGTGAAACTAGCTGAGAAGCTTATTTGCCACCTCCGCCTCCGCCACCACCACCACCGCCAAGCTCTTGCTCGAAACCACCCCCGCCACCATCAAACGCATGCAACTGGTGCCTGAAGCGCTTGCCGGGGTTATAAGGTGCGCAAATGAGTTTGATTACAAATGCGACCTTTATCTAATCGCATCATGGCAAAGAAAATGGGGAGTTTTGGAGGCGCTTATTACTCTAGCGAAATGCTCAAAGATATAACGATTCAGGCGTCTATAAAAATTAGAACCGAGCAAAACACATTAATCGAGACGGTTCAGTTCTTTTTCGACTTTATGAGTAATGTTATTCTACTCTACATCAAGAGTTGAATGAGGTTTTTTTTGACATTCGATTGCGGGAAAACGCATTGTAATAAAAATTATGATGAAATTAATGGTATATTTTGGCTGAGCTCCTCAGTCGACTTGTGGTGTTTAAGTGTTTTCTAATAAATAGATACACCTACAGTTGTAAGCCGCTGACAGCTTCTAAAGAAGTTATTTCAGAGGAGCGACAGAATGAGGAAAATTTTTTTATTGTATGCTCGTAATATACACATCTTGTTTCAATCTAACGGAATATTTGATTATTAACCGTTTGGGTGCTTCAAGGTACAGAAATAATCTGTGGTGGACTATTTCTCAGGCATAAACAACGGTACTTTAAACGCCTGAAAGATAAAATTCAGAACTTCGCAGAATAAGGGCGCCGCTTTTTAAGATATGTTTGTAACGCCAGCCGATGTGGTATTCGTACAATATGTCGGTCTGTCCGTGACTTCCACTACTTACGGCTCTGCTGTGTGATTCAAATCAGAGAGTTTTCTCAGTGCAAAGATTTATCTTGCCGTCCCTTCAACTAAGAAGCTTTCATTTTGGAAAGGGGCCTGAGTTTGGAGCTGCAAGTAAGATGGTTGGGCACATTTTGGAGCTTGTTGTGAACCATTCGTTAGATAGATAGATAGATAGATCCCGAACTCCCATTAAAAAGAATGCATTGATTCTATTTGCCGTAATTTTAAGCGCCGACGGCGGCAAGTGCTCAGGCGAAGAACATCGGATAATTAGAGACAAATATGAGAGTGACAGACAGTACTTACAAATTCTCTCTACAGATTCAACACCCAATATGTAGTTCTATGCACGGCTTTTTTATGTTTTAAACATTTTTTACTTTATTGATTTATTTGGAAAGCCTCCCGCCACTTATAAAATATAAACTTCAAACTGAAATGTTTCTTAGTTGGGAAAACGCGGCAACTTTACATTGCACAGCGAACAGGCTTGCAGGACCAATAGAACTCATAAACGCCAGTTGTTTTAATTACAGTACAATACTGAGCTTTTAATTGCAATAATTCTTGAGAAATAAAAAAAAGGTTCTTCTAAGAAACGAAAATAAGTCACCTAATTCATAGCCGCTTTATGCAATTCTAGTCAGAAGACCAGATATATTTTCCTGCGTTATGTGAACAACCAAATTTTTTTCGATATCTATGATCTTATGTATGTTCCATGTCTTACTTTTTAAACTCGCCCATCAATAAAAAGGAGCGTTATTAATTCTCGAAAGAGATTTTATTGAAATAAAGAAGTGATCTAATTATATTCCATATTTCCAGATCATCTGATCTTCTCTTCCTCTTTCGGACTAAAGCATAATACTTTCCATTCGTCCAGCGCTTCTTAGCGACAGTGAACTTACGAGAATTAAGCCTGAACCCATCCTAATCACCCAGATGAAATACAGACGCATATTTATGTATGTGGTAAGTTCTTATTTATTTTTTATAAATTAATTAAAGCTTTTCGTTTAACGTTTCTATAAATACATATACAGGTTCAAGGATCTTATATTCCATTTGTGTATAATTTAGTCTGATGCAGAGGTAGGATTGAGCTAATGAATTTGGTATGATGCCTATGAAAATTTCATTGATTTATGGCGGGCAAGGTGGCATCCACGACGGGCGCACACAATCCGGGGCACCAGGACCGCCTGGGCCACCGGGGCCATTACCCCAGCCGCCACCGCCGCCGCCACCTCCTCCACCACCGCCACCGCGTTCACAATTGCAACCACGACCACCACCACCACCGCCGCCGCCACCGCCGCCACCAGGCACTGGTACGCCTGCGAAATAAAACAAAGTAAATAAAAATTATCAAGTGACATTTAGCAGGCTCGGAAGCATTTCATTTCCAAATCTCACCTTTAACCAGCGCAAGTACAGCGAAGAGAACTGCTATTAGCATTTGGATTTTCATTTTCACTTGTTTTTAAAGCGATAGCCTCACTGAAGTGGTATGATATTTTATGTGAACCTGCTTTTTATATACAATCAGTTGGGAGCATCATAATAATGCACACGTTCATCATATTCGAAACACACTGGGGTTTTTCGTGGGGTTATTCGATTGCGGTAAACGATCTGACGTTGTAAAGTGGCGCGAGTGGCATGGAGGGAGCAATGCACTACAGCTGTGAAATGTAAACACCACCATACATTCATACATTCATACATACCCGTATGAAATAATAATACTTAAACGGTTATTGCATATGGAAGTGAGCAGGAGGATGGGGAAAACTACGGGGTGATAAGACCTAAACGTACGATTGATTATCACTTCACAGTTCGCAGCTATCAGCGGAAAACCCGCAATAAATGCCTTTTAACATACTCGTTTATTAACTACAATTAGTGACACTGTAAGCATGCTAAAGTATGTATGTATGTATGTATGTAGATACGTGTACATATGTAAAATTCTAAACTCATCTCTCACAGGCCACAAGTCAAGTATTAGCGCCGAAAAGGTCCTGCAATTGATAAGAAATTTGCAATTGTCGCAAGATTTTTTTTTCAGCTATAACTGCAATTGTTTTTCAGTGCTTCGCTTTCTTGGAATTTATTTAGTTATGTAGGAGCTTTGCTAATTTACGTTTCCAAGAATTGTTCGCACTGGCAAAAGATCGAAACTAGGTTAGCGATGTGTTAATGTTTACATAGAATTCTGTTCTATAAATAGAAATAAATGTATGTACTTGCAAATGTGTGTATATAAACAAAAAGTGAAACTATTCAAAAAGCAAAAACTATTAACATAAATATAATATTGTAATTAATTATTTTAATTAAACGCAAAAATAATAATCGGAGCAAATTTTTACAACGAAGATTCCTCAATTCGACGATAACCCAAGTGTCTACAAGTCGTTTTAATGATAATTTATGACGCAAACTCCGAATCTTTATTCCGCTTTTTAAAATTGGTTGTAGTTTTCAATTTAGTCTATCAATTAACTTTTATGATTTTAACAAAAAAATGTCCCTTCAATGAAGTAGAGTAAAAAATCGGTAAGGACGGGCAGTTGAACTGAGTACTTTTTATGACTAGGCATCTATTTCACTTTTTAGCTTCCAGCAGCAGTTGCTCATCATGACTTCATTCCAAAAACCTTGTTATCATAGTGAAATGTTGGCTAAATCTTGGCTTAGACACTCTCCTTGTTTGCCGTTCGTATTGCCGAGTTTTCGGTGGAAAAAGACGAGGTGAGAGCAGAGGAAATGTCCTACTTCAATCTTGCGAAAACTTTCCAATAATTTAACATTTGGAAAACATGACCATTCGTCAGGAGTTAAATATTTGGTAAAGTTTCCTTCTGTATTTTTTTTTTTTTTTTTTTTTTCAAATAACAAACTGCGAAACAACTTCTCAGTTGAGTGCTTTGACGGAATTCTTGTAATGGACCAGTTTAATGAGAAGGGGTGACAAGCGACGCAATTTGTCACAATCATTTCCGTTTTATAGCAAATTTTATTAGGAACCTTTTTTTTAGAATGCATTTCTTAAACTAAGAGAATATATACATTATATATATATATATATATATATATATATTACATATACAATTGTCGCTTTGTAACCGTTGAAGCGATTTTCAGCCAATTTCCAATTAATGGTTTTGCGTCTTGATATTTTTCCAACAAATGGTAGAGACCTACGGCTTATACTAAGCCGCCCCCCCCCCCCCCCTGCCGAGAGACGACCGCAGTTACAAAATTTAACTTATTTTTTTATTTTAAAATTATTTTCCATAACTTTTGAATTATGGTGGCACCGGGATTTGAACTCGAGTCTTAAGAAACGGCTTCCGCGGCCGAGACTAAGAGCATACCCTTGCAACATAAAATGTGCTGCAAATTCTTTTCACATGAAATTGTCATCAAAAACGTGCTAAATTCCGCTATTCCGTTTTCGTTTTCGAACACCAAGTTTCAGTAATTTAAGATGTGCCAGACATCGAAATCGCCTTATTTTCACCGTTTTGAAATCGGCCGGCTGCAGGCACGTCAATGGGAAATTTATTACCCCTAAATTTAGAAAAATTTAGATTTTGTTTTGCTAAATTGTAACATATAAAAAAGAAAAGCCTTAGAGAGAAATTTTTATGAAACATAATTAGTTTACTTTTTGTTCTTGTTATATTTAAGAAAAAGAAAAAAAACAGGATAAAATTTGATTGTTCGCATTAAATTATTTGCAATTTTTTGCTTGTATTTCCAGACTTTTCGAAATAAATCCCAGATTTATGGAAAATCAAAAATTAAATTAAATAAAAAATTAAGTTGTTTTTTCTAAATTCGATCGCCCCTCGACAGGGAATATCAGTATATTTCCGACATGATATTGAAGGAGGAGGAACTCAGTTGAAAATTGCTTTCTATGCTGACGTAGTTTTTGTTGTTTTTTTTTTAAATTTTGAAATGTACATGAAAATCTCACAGCCGCCAGAGAAGAATCTTTAAAAGCAAAGAATTCTATAAATTATAATCTCTCCGAAGCGATTCTCAGCCGAACTCCTTCTCCAATTTGTTGAGTGCGACTTGATGTCTTTCCAAAAATTTGGTGACTTACTTTTTCTACCAAGAGCCTTTTTTTCATGTCATGATTTTATTTAAAATAATTTACTATAAATACCAGGTATATTTTCCCCAAGCTCGTCTTCCTTACGCTAAATTTATGTGACAGCCCGTTTTTATATCAATCTTAAGGTGTATTGTAGGTGTGAGACTGGCTGCTTTAGTCTTGAAGTCTTGAGAACAAAAAGCTTATACTGAAAATCCCTACTGACAACTACCGTGATCATATATTGTAACGACAGAAGTATTTCAACCTAAGTATTCCATGATCGCACGTAACCTTTTCTTAATATTTCATCCTGCGAAACGAGTATACGAAGAGACTACCTCATTTGCATCGAAACCGAGTTTAAATAAAGACAAAATCCTTGTTTTTTTCTTCTTCAAACTACTTTTATTAATATAATAATTTGTTCAAAATCCATAGACCAAACAGGAATAACCAATTAGCGATTTGTTAGACTAAGCTACAGATGACAGTGCTGATTTACTTGCCGCCGCCGCCACCGCCGCCGCCACCACCACCGAGCTCTTGCTCGAAACCGCCACCGCCACCGCCGCCGCCACCACCGCCGAGCTCTTGCTCGAAACCACCACCGCCACCGCCGCCGCCGCCACCACCGGGCAGAGGCTCAGGATTGGCTGTAAGGAAGAGAAAAATATTTATTATAAAAATGTTTTGCTTTGTGTGCACGTGTATGCATATTTATATGGAGTATTTTGTATTTGTATTAATAAACGTTAAATCCTGCAACTCACCGAAAGCCATAGTAAATAAGGCCAGGACGAAAGCTAAAAGCGCAAAGAACTTCATGTTGTAAATACAGAAACTGCTATGTCTGAAACAACAGTTAGGGCCGTTATTTATACTTACTCGACGTGATGTGTGCAGATATCAGTCTCGTATCAAAAGCAGCTGACGCAATAAACTTGACCTGATACTTGGACAACCGCGCCGTAGACGCCGGCAGATAGCACCATACATACACACATGCACATAGTACAAATGCATGGCAGATGAAAGAAATATACAAACTCTTAATTGTGTATGCACTTTGTATTGATTAAAACCGGCGTTTATTGTATGAATCTCAGCAGATCTAAAAAGCATACAGGTATAGAGTGCATACTTACATATGTACATATGTACATATGTATGTATGTAAGTAATAATTTATTTATATTATAATGAGCATTTGTCAGTACATACGCTATGTTGCTTCAAAATATAAACAACAAGAAATTAAAATGAAATAAGCAAAAAATATAAGAGAGATTGAAATCAAATAAAATAAAATAAAATAAAATAGACAAAATTAAATTAAATTCGGTAAATAAAATTAAAAAATATGACACATTACTAAATAAATCACAAAATAAAAAAATTTAATATTTAAAGCTAATTTAAATTAATTTGGATTACAAATCATACAATGAAAAAATTAACTAAAATAATAAACATTTTCAAAATATATTAAAAAAATTAAAAAAATTTAAATATTTAAACGAAATAATGCAACAAAATAAAATTAAATCAATTGAAATATGAATAAAATAAAAAATAAATAAAATAAAATAGCCGATAGCCCTGTTTCAGCTCATTAATCTAAAAGCATGTACCGTATGGAATCGAAGAGCTACGACGCGTCACACGAATCTTTTGCGCAGTTAGAATCTTTGCTTATTTAGTGTAATATAAGATGTTTATCAATTAGGAAATATAGAAACAACTTCAATTAATTTTTATTGCAAACTATAGCAACTTTTTTTTCGTTAATAACAGAAGGATGAAACAATGTTTCCGAGAACTCGCTAATCCAAACAAGGTCGTTCATTCGAAACGAGTTGAACCACTTATCAGTAAGGTGTAAACAAACTCATCATCAAATAGATACATATATGAGCATACACGCAAATATATAAATCACTACATCTAATCGTAAAAGTTTTTACAGCATTTCATTATGTTGTAAACAAATAAATCTAATTCACTAATACTTCCAAATATGGGCTTACACAATGCAAAAATTATGGATCTATGGAGTCTATTGGAGTATCTTTTGTATTACTCCTCTGTAGTCCGACGTGAGACCAGCTCAGGTCCCGCTAACAGCTTGTAGTTAGTCGAAGATTGCCCCAGCCCTGGTATGTATTTCCAAATGTTGCCAATCAACGAAAGGAAGGAATGAATGGCCCGACGTCGCAATGATACTTAGACTATATATTTTGATTAGATTGTGGTAAGTTTGCCTGCATGGAATACATACATACATATATCTTTATATAGTACCCACAGGAGATAGGAGTGTCGCAGTAATATTTTGGATTTGGACTCCTTAGAGATTAACCGAGATGAAGGTAAGATTTGGGGCGTATATTTTGTACACAATTTCCGCAAAATTCCAGGCATTTATTCGTTGACAAAGCCTTTTAATTAAGAGTTTAGCCATAAGAGACCAGCATATAGTGGATGATTCCTTGCCAATATCATCAAACAACAAAAGCTTTCCTGATCATTAATTTTGACTTGGAGACCGCTTGTGCCCGCTCACTGCCTTTCGATCACAACCGGTTTTGGTTGAAGTTGTTGTAGGGGTTCCACTTTTCATCATCATTTACCATCCGCTTCAGAAATGGGTCGATTTGGTTATGATTCAGCAGCGATTTGCAGATAGTCATTGTATCCAGCCTTTGAAAGTGTTTTTGTTTTGTGCAATGTTTAGCTCAGGGGCAATCAAAACAGTCCTCGCATAACGGTCAGATTCGGGTATTTCCATAATTTTACCGAAACTTTCGCCAACTGGTCTTCCACATCATGGAACATATTTGACTATTACAATAGCAAGACCATAAACTCTCAGTCGTCTGATCTCTTTGCTTGGGTACATCTTTGATATGTGTTCAAACGCTACTGAGCTAGGTGATCAATACTTCTCTTATTACCTTTTTTAGTACAAGATATCATTCTTGACGTCGTTCAATCGCACTTACAGATTCGAGATACAGATCACTATAGACATCTGTTGTGAAAATAATCCTTTTACTTGACCAATATAAGGTAGATTTCTTCACGCGGGTGTAAGATATTCCCATATATCAATCTGCTGTACTATAATAAATTCTAAAAAGCTCTCTGCAAGTGTCTCATTGTTGATATCAAATACCACTGAACCGAAAATTTGTACACGTAATGAGAGTTATACGGAAAAGGTGCGTCGCTTACTTACAAATTAAAACATTTCTATATGAAAAGGATTCAGGTAACAGGTAACTTCCTGATAGAATTAAAATCACAAAAGCAAGATATCACAATTCACATTGGTAACCATAGATTTTGTTTGATGTTTTTGTTTATACCACGAATATTAGGTATAAAATCGAACAAGATGAGTAAAAAGCCCATACAGAATAATACTTAACATTCACAGAAGTCAACAGGAAATGCATCTGTGTACATACGTATTTATTCAATAAAAATGTGTCTGTTTTGTTTAAGAAAAAAAATATTAAATCAATACTGTATATTTTATTTCCTTGTACATATAAATTTACATATATTATATATATGTATATTATAAATTTCATTAAAGAAATTACACTTTTATTAAAGCTCTTTACGAATGTAGTCAATTATTAAGTTTTAATTTATTATTCCTACAAAGCAATTGTTTTTGCTTGAATATAATTCAAAGGTATTGTCTTTATTTTCGAGTATATATATAAATGTGAATATATGTGTATGTATGTATTGTAATATAATTACCTTAATGGTGCAGTTTTCCGAAAATTTTATATATTTTGGTATTTAATTTTATTTACTTATTTTTATTATACGAGTATATTCATAAATGCTTTTCCTCTTAACATTCGAATTATCTAATTGTTTTCTTCTCTAATTAAAAAACAGATATAATTTCATCACAAGCTGTCGCTCGAATTGAAATGGTATTCACATACATACATATAAAGGTAAATATTTAATTCAAAATAAATTTATACATTATTCTAAAAATGGCAACAGCAAGCAACTAATAGCGGTAAAACTATAAAGTTGCGGTTGATACTAAAATGAATAAAAAAATTTATATGAATTAAAATAAAATAAAATGATATGTAAATTTTAATGAAGGAAATAAAAATATTTTAAATAACGTATAATTAGCTATTTGTGGAGTGATTTTGACCAACTCCCTCTCTTTTCGTCTTGAAGTTCTTTCCAACAAACGGAGATACTAAGCGGCTTCCGAATGACTCATGGATATTAAAGACGAATTTTTATTTTATGTCAGAGATATACTGACATTCCCTGCCGAGGGTTATCCGCAATTAGAAAAATTAATTAATTTTCTTCACAGGAGCCCCAGACGATGCTAAAATATTTAGCGAAACGTTGGGCAAAAATGCAATAGAAAAAATTAGTTTTATTTTTCAATGCCCAAACCAGATCAGCTAAGCCTAATTAATTCATAAAATATTTAAAATATTATTTTCACTTTTTCATTTAAATTAATTTTGAGTAATGTTGTTGTTGGTCGGACCTGGACTTTCCGCACGGTAGCACAGACTGCTGAGCTCTCTGCCATCGCAGCCACCTAAATAACGTGTAGAATTATGAAAGCCTGTCTGGATGCTGGAATAAAAGTTTATCCCATATACATATAAAAATCAGCTTTATTCTCATTCCATTAACCGGTGAGATGAATTTAATCCTAATTACTTAAAAATTATTTCATACTAAAATTAAATCCTTTCTGCTTTAATAAAATACGCATCTGAGAAAAACAAGAAGACTTCAAACATTTAAAATGGGTTTCTGCTTCAAATGCTTTTAAAATCGATAAACATTTTGTCTTGTATATATACTCGTGTATATCATGATATTTTTTCAACAAATAGGGGGACCTACAGTTTGTTCTAAGCCGTTATCGAACTGCTGATAGGTTTTTACGAGGAACTATTATTTCCTTGCCGAGGGTAACTAGAAAATTCTTCTAAAATTTTAGATGTCAGTCGAACCAGGACTCGATCTCTGGCCTTCATAATGTCAGTTCGCAATGCTATCACATCGGCTTTTGTGGCAAACATTTTTTTTTTATTTTAGACAAAATTAATCATTTCTATAATTTCCGACAGTCTGCCACTGTCTTTTGCAGGGAGATTATGTTCAAAAAACCCTGACATAATTAGGTGATTTCGTCACTGTGTTGGGTGTTGCTGATATATTCATATTAATTTCTAACGAAATTTGAGCTGAATAAAAATAAAGCCATGGTTGAACCATATAAAATTACCTCAGGTATTCTCATATAATAGAAATATCGAAATTTCTCTCCGAACATATCAAATCAAAATCAATTATGATATTAGTTTGATTTCAACAAGAAAAATGCAGAAATTTAGTTTAAGAATACAACAAATCAACAAATCCCAACAAGCTCCTCCAATAATACCAGCTAATGCGTCATTTTCTAACCAAGGGCTTCTTCTCTTATAAAAATTGCAAAAAAAAACAGACCTCGCTTGCGATCTAATTTAACGAAAAGAAAGAATTATGAAAAACAAAATCAGAATTAAATTGATGAGTCATTAGTGTCTGCTGTTGGAAGTGGGCTTTCTTTAAAAAAAAAATATTCCAATGTTTGCTGAAAACCTTTTTTTCCAAGGTAAAATAAATTTCCTTGTGGCAATTGATATTCGTAGCCACCACCTGGGACACTCTAAGACTCCTTCCGCTGTCAGGATCGTATGTTAAATTTGGTTCTTTAGAGATTTCTATTAAACGGTCACAGTCATCTTCTTCATTGACGATTTGCAATTCCAGTTGCAATAGTTCTTCAATGGAGGATTCTTGGTTGTGCGAAGTTATTAATTCATTTTTGTTGGCCTCCATACCTTCAAAATTAGACTTTCTAGCTAAATTAGAAATTGCACGACGAACCGCTGGTGTGGCATCAACTTCCGTAGTGCATTTTCGGTGAACACATTCAGACCATATTTTGGGTCAAACACTATTAATGCAATATGGTTTACGCTCCTCCCACGAATCGGATATGATTTCTATGGCTTTCATTATGTTGGAATTTCTCCAAAACTCTGGCATGGTAGACCCATCTTGTTTATCAGTGGCACTTATAATAAGTTGAAAGGTTCGTCGAAGATAATAACTTTATTACTTTCGATATTACTCTCTGATCCATCGGCTGCATAACTGATTTCTAATTAGGAAGCAAAAATACATTTTTCACATTTTCTGACAATTCATCAATTTGTACTGGGTGGCCAGGAGCAAACGTCTACTAGGATCAAAGCCTTGATGTTTAAGTTTTCTTTATTGCAGCAAGCTTTAGTTTCTGGAACAGCACACGTTGAAAGCAAGTTTTGAAATAATGACGCTGGCATCCATGTTTTTTTTACACTCCACTGGACAGGAAGGAGATTCTATGAATAATTTTTTGTAACACTTTTGTGAATAAGAAATGGTTTAATATAATGGCGCACAATGAAAATTAGATCTAATTGAGGAGACACGAAGTTTCGAAAAAATGAATTCGAAAATCGGTTATGAGATTCTCTTCGTATGTGATTTTAATGGAATTTGAGTGATCCAATATTTTGTTTGTATTTTTTTCTGAACAAAACCTTTACACTCCTTAACTCTTGAACTTGTAAATCAATAAATGAGCAATATTCGGCAAATTTATTTTGACTAATCTTTTTCATCTATGAAAAACTAAAACTTTTGTGAGACTAATTTTGTTCCAATTTGGTATTCATTCCATCAAATCTGTAAATGAAATGTCTCACCACTTGTTCTGGCTTAAAAGATGGTGTCCAAACATTTGCTAAGTCGAGCATTATGTAATAGGTTGCAAGAGATGACTACTATTAATTCCATTATAAATCGAACTTGAATCGAAATTGAAAAAATCAGAGATTTTGAATAGCGAACTGTTAAAAATGTACAAAACATCTGTTTCGAGCTCAAATTGTAGTGGAAACTGGGTGATCTAAGAAGGAGTCATCTATTTCGTGAAGGTGACTATAAGATATATATGTGTATTTGACCACAATTTTATAAAAAATCGTAAATCCACCTCATAATAAAGCACTATTTATCAGCAATCAAAAATAACAATTTATAACACAGAAACAACTTTATTTTCGCAATCAGATTTAGTGGCCTGGGGCACCGGGTGCTCCGGGCGCACCATCATCACCCCCTTTGCCACCATCACCTCCATTGCCACCACCGCCATTACCGCCACCTCCACCATTACCACCGCCACCTCCATTGCCGCCGCCACCTCCATTGCCCCCACCACCTCCATTGCCTCCACCACCTCCATTGCCACCACCCCCACCATTATGGCCGGGCTTGCCAGGTGCTCCAGGGGCTCCGTCACTACCCCTCAGTTCGGGGGCACGCTTCTGCCTTGCCGGACGTTCAGGCTCACCAGCTGTAATCAGAGTAAAATAATTGTAAAATAAAAACGTTTATTTTGCATTTATTGAGACCTACCATAGCATAAGGCCACCACAACGGTGGCCACACAAAAGACGAGTAAAAGCTTCATTCCAACAATTCTCGGTGAATACTGAATTATGATTGATGAGCTAATGCATTGCTACTGTCTTTTTATACCCTGAGCATCACAAGAAAAATCCATAAAGAGTAACAACAACGGATAAGACAAATACTCACTTGTAACTATATACATATGTATGTATGTATGTATGAAGCACATACGACACAAATTGGAGTAAGGCAATGAATGCATTTTTATGTATTTGGGTTGCTGTAGTGGAGGTGGTAATTTCCAAATGAAAACTTTTTAGAGGCTCGTTAAATGAATTTAAATATTTGCCAACACCTGGGGGAAGTATATAATTTTTTATGAAATAATATTTGAATATTTAATTTCTCTTATTACACTTACAATGTACCAACCAATGGATAAATGCATTATTAATTGCAGTTTATACACAGTTTCACAGTGGAGCTTCGTTACTCTGATTTTCTATTTTTTTTTTTTTTTTTTTTTTTTTTTTTGATTTTATGATAGTTAACACTTTTTTACTCTCAAATGACTTATGATTTTGAAAACAAAACTGTATCGAAAAAAGTTTGAAAATCAAGTTCAAGTCCTTTAAGGCGAATTAAATATGAATACAGATATTGTTGCCACATTTCATGCAGATGCAGCACAATATGGCAAATAAATTTTAGATTTTTATATTTTAAATAAAATGTTTAACCTATCACTCAGAGATAAAGAATCGAGAGTACAATAGTTGGGTGTATACACATATTGGTTAAAAATTCCCATTCGAAACTTCCCATCCCAAAATTTATTACCAAATCGATTCCAGAGTATTTTGTTTGTATACCAAAGTGTGCAAAAATGTTCATTAGGAGACTACGACAGTTTGCCAAGGATTAGGAGGCCCTACTTCATATAATCGTGTTCCAGTAGTTCAAACAATTTACTTATTACTCGAGCCTTACTGTACCCACTCTAATAATGATTTATATAGAGCAATTATTTTTTTTTAATATTCCTATATACCAAATGGTGTAAGATTGTATGAAGTTAAATTAGACCAAATGACGATCTGAAAGTACATATTTCATCAACTTGCTCAACACTGTGTAGCTGCTGTACAGAATAAAAACAAATCCATTCATATGCTAATTTCGCTTTGAAAAACATAATATTTAGATAAAAATGTCAGTGTTACCAGAAGTGATTATCGGGCAAGATCCTTTTGCTATTTATGAAGTGAGTCTTCATGAAATTAAATAAAATAATAAAATAACAAAATGTAATATAAAATAATATAAATAAACTTAAAAAAATAAGTAAAAAAAATGAATTTAATTAATATTAAATTAAATTATCCAATTCGAACAAAGGTGTCTGGAAAAAGAAGTCTGATGAGGAAACGTAGTGGTTTACGAAATAGTAAACTGTTGTTTTAATTGCTTCACTATTTCCAAAAAATATATGGTCTGGGACAGTTCCATAAAACTAAAAACCCAAAAACACTTTTATAGAGCAATGCCCTGATAAAGAACCAAAAGTAATATTGAATGAGAAAAATAAATGAAGAATAAATTTACAGAAAGCAATAAATAGATAAATTAATTAAAAAAATTAGTTTTAATGAAGAGATAAAAAAATAATTAAAATAAAATGAACTCAAATAAAATTAAACAAAATAAAATAGAATTTAATTAAATATAGCAAAATTAAATAATACAATATAAAGTTAAATAAGAATAACGCAATAATTCAAAAAATTAAAAAAATTAACTAAGCAAAATAAAACAAATGAAATATAATAAGATAAAATACCAAATCATTTGAAAATAAATGAATTTAAAGTAAATAAGAAAATATAAAATAAATTTAAAAATATAAAACAAAAGAAAATAAAAAATAAATAATAAAAATGAAATTAAATTAAATTAAAGTAAAGTTCAAAATACTGTATTAAATATAATTTAATTATGTTCGCAACATTCGCAACACATTTTTCTGATGTAACTTTCAAGAAATATCATGAACAAAAATTTCTTTTTTGGTGCTGAAATATCGGTACGAAAATTTATTTATAAGTTAGCAAATTTTCAACTATCCTTCAGGAATTTCATTAAAGCTCAACCGACGGTATATGACCGCGCTCAAAATAAGGAAGGCAAGAAGATGTGTGTTTCTTCAGATGTGATGATTTATTAATTTTACATATAAAAACATATTCTGCTTTATTTTTTAGAACTTAGCCTTTTCTCTAAACAGCAAAACAATTAAAATTACATCACTAGTGACATCTGGTAACCTTTAAAAAATACGATCATACTCGCTTCGTAATATTGCACTAAATAAATAAATTATTAATGACCGAGAATTTTTAAACGAATCATCATGTTTAATTGCAACTAACACCTCATAAATATTCATTTCTAGTGAATTTCATTATTCGTCTTTTACTCATGTTAGTAAATTGCTCTACTATAAAATACTATTTAGTTTATTGTGTTTTGGCTACGGCAAAGTTGATGATTTTGTGGCACGGAATATGGACGTGAAATGATAAAAGTATTAATCAATTTTTAAATAAAATTTATACTTCTAAGAAAATTCAATAAAAAAGCATTATTGAACTTTGATTTAACGAACTTTTTTCCGCAACAAATCTTGGTCTTTGTTATTATTAACATAATTCAGAAGACTGAAGTAATATCTGGCAATGATATTGACAGTAATACGATTTTGAAAAAAGCAAGCTTCACATTGAATCCTGACTTGAAGCTCTGGGCTTAATCATTTAAAGAGCGTTTAAACTCACCCAAAAACAAAATTAATAAATAATTCGAGTTTTGTGTTCATAGTTATTAAAATACAAACACAGTTAGTTACGTATACGCAGTGACGTATTAATCGAAATGTTTGTGTTTAAAACAATCAGTACCGGCGTCAGCGAAGCAGATATATTATTTTAGCTTTTATTAGGAAAATAAGTGAAGTCTTTTGATTTATTGACTGCATATTTCGGTGTGCGGGGTCAGCAAGGCATCTTGTGTTAAGCGAAATTTTTCGTATTGTTATCATTGTTATCTAGCTCAAGAACAGTTAGAGCAGCAATTTTTCCAACCAAAAAAATTCTTTTCTATAAACACATTATTAGCCTCAAGATAATCGCCTTAGAAAAAAACAAAACGGAAATGTAAATTGCATGAGTAAAAGGGGAATAATGAAATTCACATAAACTCCAATCGGTTGAGATTATCAGAATCATCGGAATACTCGTATTCATATAATTTTCGCTTCGTAACCAATGAAGTGATTTTGGAACGAGTGACTCCAATTTGTGGTGGACATCTTGTTTTCTTCCAACAAATGGGGTGACCGACAGTACATACTAAGCTACGGAGCTTACCCCAAATTTGAGGATGAGCTTGGCCGAATATCGCTTCAGCGTTTACTAAGCACCATTTTTATTTATATTTAATTTGTTTTTTTTTTTTTTTTGTAATATCAGGCCAAAAACTACTTAATAGGGAAGGGAACAATTATTACACTTGCTTACTGGCTCAATGTTGCATATAAGTTCTTATCTATCGTACTGTGTGAAAGATTAAAGTCCAACGTCAATGAACTCAGCGCTCTTTATCAGTGGCTGCTAAAATGGTAATTCCCACATTGATCAGATATTCAACTCAGCGAATTTCGACAGCAAAAATTGAAAAGCAAAGTAGTATTTTATCAAACAGGGACCAAGATCCACGGCCGGTCAGCATTCACGGCGTACTTTATGACGTAGCAGCTGAGATATTGACTTTTCCGATAAGTTGGGACTAAAGATTTTCGAGAGTAAGCTTTTGCGAAAAATTTATTGGACTTTGAGTAATACCACCACGACTAAGGTAGACTGCGAAAGCGATGAGTAGTACGAGGTATTCGTCAACATTGGCATTATTCGGCAGCTTGTTTTCAGATCAATAAATGGCAAGACAAAAATTGGAAAATATTTTCGTAAAAATCGTAGCGTCACTCAAAAAAAAAAATACAAAACCACTCACGCTTTATCACTGCGTAAGCATTTCAATATATTATAGTTGATAACAGTCAAATATTGGCAATATTTTAGCGAAGAGTATACATACATACATACACACATACAAACATATTAGCACAATCAGTGTTGTGCAGTTGTTAAAACGCTTTATTGCATTGAACTTTTCTTCGAATTCCATCTACCTTTTCAAAACACAAACACAAACAGCTGAAAATAAAAACTGTAAAAAGCCGGCAAAACAAAATTTAAAAGAAAACAGAAACAAAAATAATGTTGTGTCTGGTTATTCGATTATATATATGTACTAATATGTGCGAGTCACACACTGAACGAAAAACCATCACAACTCAAAAATGATCAAAAACGCTTTTTTCATAAACTGATCTGCGATTTACTCATATATTATATATGAAAGCTATCTGGTGGCCGCGGTAGCCGAGTGGTTAGTATAACGGACTGCCATTGCTTACAGCCGTTCGGAAGCAGCTTAGTACTACAGGTGCCTCCATTTGTTCGAAAAACATCAAGACGCAAAATCACAAATTTGAGGAGGACCTTGGCCCAAAATCGCTTTAGCGGTTACAAATCGCCAATTACATATTTATCCGAAGAATGTTAAATTTTTTTTATCTATTTCGCTTCCGTTTCACTATAAAGAAAAAAATGTTTTTTAGCGTCAACATTTTTTGTTGCACCTAAATGTTTTTCAATTCTTTGGAATTATGTCTGTTTCGAATAAGAGTACAGTGCAAACATACATATTCGTCAATATTTGTATATATATATATATATATTGTATGTTTCGAAGTTTCTGCACTTATTTGCTTTCTTTGCCATTTGCGCTTGAACGCGACTTGAAGTTGTATGGCACGTGAGAACCAGTTCTCCAACGGCACTCAAGGCATACAAATACGCTTTATATTTAAACATTTATTACTTTGAGCGACAGCGATAAGACAGCTGAACTGGAATTACCAACAGAAGCCTATTTTTGTTAACTTTGTTAGGTGAGAATTGAACTTGATATACCGACATACATACGTGT